TGGGAAAGGATGCCCAAGGACTGGCCCTGTTCCAGGCCCACTGGGACAGGCACGGGAGGCTGCAAGCGTGTAGCTGGCGAGATGAGCCAGAGCTCACCGCAGCCTTCAGTGCCCTCTGTGCTGGTGAGATCACCCGGGGCTCCTTCATCCACACTCCTGGACCCGAGCTGCAGAGAGCCCTGGCCACACTTCAGAGTCAGGGGGGCGCCTGCCGAGGGCCTGAAGAGGGTCCAGCAGGGGCTAGGGAGAAGCGAGCAGCAGGGACCAGGGAGGAGCAAGCAGGACACAGCAGAGCACCTGGCAACAGAAGACCCCAGCGGGTGAAGAGAGGCTGGACCATGCCTGGCACGCTGTGGTGTGGAGTAGGGGATTCTGCTGGGAACTCCTCGGAGCTGGGTGAGCCATGGGGGTGTGGGCTGGGGGGCAGGGGAGGGAAGTGCTGGTTTTCGCCCTGGCCCCAACTCTCCCAGGCTGTGTGTCCGTGGGGGATTTCAATGTCCTTATCTGTAAAATGGGGGTGACCCTAAGTCTCATCATGGGTTGCTTAATTTAGGTCGTAGATGGGAAACGTCCTAGTCAAACCTCGGAGTCCTCATTAATCATCATCCCTGGGAGGGGTTGGACTGGGGTGGGTCCAAGGTTGGCTGAGCCAAAAAGCCATTACCCAAGAGGAGGCTTTCTGAGGCAGGATGCCCAGGGGAGGGGACGCCAAGACCCAAAGGCCTGGGTTAGCAAATTCAAGCTGAACAAGTCACTTCCCATCTCTGAACCTTGGCTTCCTCACAGGTACATGGAGATGACATTTCCCTCACAGAGCTGCTGTGAGTTTGGGTGTGGGGAGTGTCAGGCACTTGGGAAATGCTCAGTAACGGTAACAAACTTGGGTGACTTTTTTGCGCTCGGTACAGCTGTCTTTGTGCACGCATGGTGGGTTGGGGAAGGCTTTGGCACCTGAGTTGGAGCAGACTGGCATCCTGGCAATGCCTCATCATGCCAGCGAGAAAGGACGCACTCTGCCTCTTGGCCATCCCATTCTGCACACATTCATAACTTTGGAGTTTTATTTGGGGCATGAGCTTGGGAGCTCTGGAGGCAGACTTCACTTCCCCCGAGGACGTCCCTTTCCCGAACAAGGGCTCCTGGGTGGGCTGCCCAGCATTTGGAGCCTTCCAATAAAGGCGGAGCCTGGTTGCTCTCGTCCAGCTTTGAAACCGAGAGTCCCACAGAGGGAGAGTGGCCTGAGGCCGCCCAAGGTATCTGTGTCAAGGCTGGGGCAAGACAAGGTCCCTACTCCCTGCACCAGCGAGGCATAAGCCAGCATGGGGTGCCCAGGACCCTGCTCAGCTGGTGCCCCCTCTGCCTCCTGCAGGGGTCTTCCAAGGCCCTGATCTGTGCTGCCGGGAACACGACCATTGCCCACAGAACATCTCGCCCTTCCAGTACAACTATGGCATCCGAAACTACCGATTCCACACCATCTCCCACTGTGACTGTGATGCCAGGTTGGCAGTGGGCAGAGAGGGCCAGGGGCTCAGGGGTGGGGTAGTTCCTGGGTGCAGAGACTGGGATTCCAAAGAATCCTAAAGGATCAGCCCGCCAGACCCCACCGTGCAGGTGGGAAAGCTGAGCCCTAGGAGAAGAGACCCTTGGATCCCAAACCACCTGCATGGTAGTGACTGGGTGGTCTCGGAGGAAGAGGGGGGTGGCCCTCTTTGGTACGGGGCCCTGAGTGCCAGCTCTCGGGCAGGTTCCAGCAATGCCTGCAGAACCAGCAGGACTCCATCTCGGACATCGTGGGTGTGGCCTTCTTCAATGTGCTGGAGATCCCCTGCTTCGAGCTGGAGGAACAGGAGGCCTGTGTGGCGTGGTACTGGTGGGGAGGGTATGTGGCTGCCCCCTTCAATCCCCTTCCCAGCCAGAGGGGGAGCCTGGGCTCCAAGCCCTGGGAGGGAGGCTTTGTCTGTCCATCCTCCAGCGAATGATACCTCATCCTCCCTGTGCTCTCCTCAGGACAGGGCCCAGGATGCAGACCTTCCTCGGGTGCTCCACATAGGCCAGTGGGACAAGGGATGGCACTGACAGAGGCTTGGTCTCCATGGAGATGAACCTGGGGTTTCTGTGTGTGGTGGGGGGGTTGTGAGTTACCAATTGCCACCTTCCAGGTGTAGAACATATGGCTCCATACCCCTTGCCCGCCTCCAGTCCAGGAGGACCTTCTACAATGCCTCCTGGAGCTCCCTGGCCACCCCCGTGACTCCCAGCCTCCAGAGCCCAGCCCCCAGCAGGCCTCCGCAGAAGCAACGTTCTCAGAAGCGGCCGCCACAATGGAAAGGGTCTAAGCACCCCCACAAAACCAACACCACAGCCATCCATGTCCCCGTGGCCTCTGCCAAACCTGATATGTCCCCCACAGCCTGGCTGGAGGTCACCCATCCAGGCTTCCAGGGGCCACAGAATGGCCTAAAACCTCAGGGTGAGCTCAGAACTTAACTTTGGGGGTTCCTGATGTGGGAAGGTGTCCCTGCCTCTGTGCGGGGTTGAGGGGCCCTGTGTTGCTTCCTTCCCTTTTCCAAACTCTTCCTGGGGTGTCCCAACCTCTCCCATCAAGTCACATTGCAGCTAGAAGGATTTTCGTAAGCCCTAAACTTGCCCATATCACTCCTCACTGAGCCCCCACCATGGCTCCTCTTAACTCATGATGTCCCAATACCCAGGGGCCCTCAGGTGCTGGTCCTGCAGACTCTACTCCCCAGTTGAAACTCCAGTCTTGAAAGCCTCATTTGGTTCCTCAAAAGCAGCTTGCTCTGTCCCACCTCTGGGCCTTTGCGCATGCAGTTCCTTGTGCCTGGAGCACTCTTGCCGAGTCTTCTTGTCTCTGCTTAGCAGTCTCTTCCTCCAAAATGCCTTTCCTGACCAACATTCTGGGCTCTATGGTGGCACTGCTGTGTGTGCATGTGAGTGTGCGTGTGCATGTGTGTGTGAGACGTGTGTAGCATTCTGAAGGCAGGAAGGACATGAGACGGGGGACACCGTCTTTATGTGACTGAGCACGTGTGCCTATGCTTCCCCTAAATGGCAGTGGGCATTGGTGGGGCTTTGCTGGGGGACTGGGCTCCCCTCACCACCATGCCCCCCCCTACCTAGATGCCCGCCGGGCCTGCCGCGGCTTGCGCCATCTGGATCAATGCAAGCAGCAGATCGGGCCTCAGGAAACCAAGTTCCAACTGCTCAATAGTGCCCATGAGCCCCTCTTCCACTGCAACTGCACACGTCGGTGAGGCCTGCTTGGACCATTGGGGGTGGGCAGCCTCCTGCCAGTCACGGAGAGGGGGCTCCTGGGTGGCCAGGCCCTGCCCTAGCCTAAGCCTGCCTCTGCCCTCAGTCTGGCACGCTTCCTGAGGCTCCACAGCCCAGCTGTGGGCACCAACATGCTTTGGGAGCTGCTAGGCATGACCTGCTTCAAGCTGGCCCCTCCACTGGACTGTGCTGAGGGCAAAAGGTAAGTGGCGGCAAGCCCAGGAGGGAGGGGGCATTTTCCCAAGAGGGGGTTACCTATCCTCCCTTTGTGTGCCAGGGCCAAAGGGATGGGGAAAGGGGCTAAGGCACCTCTGAGTTCCATCGTCATCATCCCCCTACTCCCTGGTGCTCCAGGTGCAGCTCTGCAGTTGGCTTGTATGGGTCCATGTTGACTCTGTCACTTCCTATGCGACCTAGCAAGTTCAGTCACCGCTCCGTGCCTCCATTTTCTTATTTGTAAAAAGCTTGTAGAAACCAAAGAAATGGTATGTGTGACACTGTGACACACAGAGCCCAAGGCCTGCCTGGCACATAGTAAAATGTTTGCTTAACTCTTACTCCTAACCTAAAACCATGACCACCTGCCCCACTTTTCTCCACCCACAGCTGTTCCAGAGACCCTAGGGCCATCAAGGTGACAGCCGGGCATTTGCGGCGACTTCAAAAGAGCCGACGCCGGCTCTGGGGTGTGGGCATAGGTGAGGGGCAGGTGTGGCCTTCAGATCACCCAAGAGCCGCCACGTCATTCTATGACCGCTGCCTGCAGCTGACCCAGGCAGCCCGGAGACCCATAGGGCAGCAGAAATCCTAGAACGGAATGATCTCAGTTCCAGCTCTCCTGGGCACCAGACTGGACACTGCCCCTAGCTCTGCTAGGCCCCAGGGGGTCTTGGCTTCCTCTCCACGTGTTAGACTGAAGCATGGCTCGGGCCCCTGTGGACAGCCAGGCGGCAACAAGAATCAAGGCTAAAATGCTGGACCACGTCTCCTGCTGTGCTGAGTGATCTCGAGCTGGTGATACAACCCCTCTGTGCTTGGATGTGGTGTTCAGGAGGTGCATTCTGATGCCCTGGGCTTGGGCCTTGCCAGATGGGAAACTTATTACTTAACTTATTACAGCAGCCTCAGGAGGTACCAGGAGGAGGCACACATATCTCCAGGTTGCAAAATGAACACATATCTCAAAAGCCTGTCCAAGGAGCCCCAAGCACCTACTTGCTGAGACCTGAGGCAGCAGGTGGGGAATGGGATGTCACAGAAGCGCCTGTATCTGAATCCAGGAAAGGGGAGGGTGCTAGGGGGTGCTTCCCAACTCTTCCCTGGGGGATCCCTCCTCAACAGCTGCTGTGCCCTTCCTGGGACCTGTGACCATTTTTTACTACCCTAAACCCAAATTCAAATCTCCTCTGTGTCCTTGAACGAGGGACCTTCCCCACTCTGAGCCTTAGTAACTCCTCTGAAAAGGGGCAGTGTGACCAGGACCTACCTCATAGGATTGTTGAGGATTAAGTAAACCAATACATGGAGAATGCTTAGCACCTAGTAAATGTTCTCTCCCTCTAACATATAGCCAGACTGTGGTTAGGCATCTGATTCTGAGAGGTTCACCTCCTGGAGGCCTCAGTTTGCCCACCTGTGAAATAGATCTAAGAATTGCACCGAACACACCGCAACTCAGGGTTGTGGTGCAGATTAAAAGAGATGGCATGTGTAATGTATACGGCTGGTTCCTGGTAATTGTCAGATCTATCATCCTCTTGCCTCTTTAGTCCCTTCCTCTGACTACCCCCACCCCCAGACTGCTAACAAGTTAGGAAGGAGTCAGGAGTGATGCTGGAGAATTTAATTTCTAATTGATGACCTCCAGGATTGCAACCCCCCCCCATCTCAGATGGGGGCGGATAGGGCTTTGCTGATTGTCACAGTTGAGGTGCCAGGACTGAGTTTGGGGGACCCCACTTGGCCACCCCTCGCCAAGACAGAGTGGCAGGTGCGGATGAAGCCGGGGCAGCAGCAAAAGGAACACAGGTGGGTTTGCAGGAGATCAGGGCACGGTGGCGGCCACCTGGGCCCATCCACCCACCCACCCTCAGGGCCCCAGACCCCCTTCCTCCAGCCCCTGCCGGCCCTGGCTACTGGGGGCTGGGGCCTCCCGATCAGGTCCCCAGGAACCCCTCCCACCAGGGTCGACGGTCTCCAGGCGCAGGGCAGGCAGCAAGCCGAGGCTTCGAGGCACAGACGGTGGGAAGGCCCAGGGACCGGGCAGCCCAGAGGGCCCCTCCTCACTACTGCCCCGGCTGCCACTGTCATTGCTCCTGTCGGGGGCCACCCGGGGCAGGCGGCAGCTCTGGGGTGAGGGGCTTCGGCTGGCACCACGGCGTTCACGGGATGAAGGCCGCAGGACAAGGCCAGGGAAGCGGGCCAGGCCTGGGCTGCGGCTACGGTGTCTCTTGGACTTGCCAGGGCTGGGGCTACGGGACTTGGATGCAAGCAGCTCCAGGGTACTGTCATCCTCATCCTCTGAACTGGCACTTGAGCTGTCTGTGCCGCTGCTGGCCGGCTCCGAGGTGGGCAGCGAGATCTGGGGGGGAGGCCGGTTACTGGGCTGCCCTGTGCCCCAACCAGCCGCGGAAGGCGTCTTGGAGGCACTCCCACCCTGCCCGTTAGCAGAGCCGGGAAGGTGAGGTTGCTCGCAGGAGATCATGGAGCAGAAGGCAGAGGCTGTGGTGTTTGAACAGGGCCTTTTAGCGCCCCCGATCCCGCAGTCTGACCTACTCACCTGGAAGGGCTCAGTGACGCCAATGAGGATGCTGTGCGTGTGGCTGTAATAGCCCAGGATGAAATCTCCATGGCCCTTGGGCAGTGACTCCTCACTGAAGGTCACCTGGTGGGCCCAGGACATAGGCCCAGGTTGGGGTCAGGGAAGCAACCTCAAGGACTGCCCAAGCCAAGTCCCGAGCCCCAAGGGCAATGGGGACCTCCTCCCACCCTCCCCCTCCCTTTCAGTACCTGGTAGACGTTCCCATCCACATCCTCGTGTTTGGCCCAGACGTAAGCCACGTAGTCCTTGCAGTGGCGGAAACCCACCTGGGGTGAGAGGATTCAGGGTGGTGTCTCCTCTCGCCTGACTCCAGCAGCCTCCCGGGGTAGCAACGAACTCTGCAGAAGCCAGTGATCCCCCTGGGCCCCTGGCTGCTTTCCCCAGGCCCTCCCTTCCCTGAGGCACTGACTGTCCCTGCCCTTCTCACCCGGTACAAGCCGATCCAGTCCCAGGAGCTGCGGGCGAACACGGTTTCCATGTGGTACCTCACCACAGCCTGCTCTGGTCGCACCCACTCGTCTGCCACCTCCAGCCGCACTAGCGGCACGTCGTCCCTGTAGGCAAACTGCCCAGGGGCGGGGGCCACATCAGGGGAGACCCTCCAAGCGTCCTTGGGCCTGAGTCCGCACAAATCAGCTGAGAGAAAGAGCCTTTGAAGCCATTTACGGATTGGGAAGCGAAGGCAGAACAGGTCTAGGATAAACGCCAGGCTTCCCACCTCCCAGCCCAGGGCTCTTTATGCCCGCAGCCTCCTTAGGGAGTAAGAATACAGCTTTGAAGTGAATAGGGTAGCCCTCGTTCTGCCCTTACTCCCACCTCAGGGAAGGACTGAGGCTTTTGTCTACTACCCCCCCCCCCCCCACCATTTACCAGGTTTTGGGTTTCCCTCCCTCCTCAGCTTTTGAGCCAGGCTGTTTCAGAAGAAACCAGAGCATCCTCTCCCTGTTCCTAGGTTCCTAACAGCAGGTTTGCCCAGGGTGGCCTCTTGGAAATGCTCTCCGGGGCCGCGCAAGGTCAAAATGCTTTGGTCAAGAGACTTAAGTTCTCTGAGCCTCTTGGGAGGAGAATTTGCATGTCTCAGGGCCTACAAAGGCATTCAAAGGATGACAGAGCCCCAGGGCCTGGCATGCAGTAGGTGCTCATTTCTGCAAGGGTCAGAGACCTTGATGAGGAGGGAAGGTCAGGGTAAGGCACCCAAAAGGAGTGGTTCTCAAGGTGAGGCCCCTGACTGAGGGTGAAACCTCACACCCAAGTCTTTTACCAAAGGTCATGGGAGGCCCAACTTGGGCAGATTTCCATTCCCAGTTGAGGATACTGGCCAATGTCCCACTGACGGACCACATGACAAAGTTACCAGGGAAAACATTCTCTGGCCTGCAGACTCCCTCTTATCAGATCAAGGAAAGGAATCGGAGAGTCCAGAGTTGGGTTTCAGGACTGGAAAGATGGGATCTACCTTTCTCCCCTGCTGAGCCGCTGTGTAGCTCGGGGGTACATGCCTACCCTATTGGGGGGGCCTCAGTTTCCCCATAGAAAAACAGAGTGTTGGACTACATGGTCTCTCAGGTCCAGCTCTGACATCTAGCATTTCTCCTTTTTACTTTGGCAACCAGAGACCTCAACCCTAAACACCATGCCCTTCTCACCCGGTACAAGCCGATAACTATACTATACTAACTATACTATGCTAACTAAAATATAAAATTCTTGGGCGCCTGGGTGGCTCAGTTGGTTAAGCGACTGCATTCGGCTCAGGTCATGATCCTGGAGTCCCGGGATCGAGTCCCGCATTGGGCTCCCTGCTCAGCGGGGAGTCTGCTTCTCCCTCTGACCCTCCCCCCTCTCATGCTCTCTCTCTTATTCTCTCTCTCAAATAAATAAATAATCTTTAAAAAAAAATATATATATATATATAGGGCGCCTGGGTGGCTCAGATGGTTAAGCGTCTGCCTTCGGCTCAGGTCATGATCCCAGGGTCCTGGGATCGAGTCCCGCATCGGGCTCTCTGCTCCTTGGGAGCCTGCTTCTCCCTCTGCCTCTCTCTCTCTCTCTCTGTCTCTCATGAATAAATAAATAAAATCTTAAAAAAAATATATATATATATATATATAAATTCTTTGTATTTTCATCTCTCTACTCCTCCTCCCCATTACTACCTTACTCATGGTGCCTGGCACATGGTAAAATGGTAAATGAATAATGAATAAATATGAATGAAGGCTATATGGAGTTTGAATAAACATTTTGATTTTTCTGATCTTATTATGTGACTATATAATGTGAATTTTAATAAAAGTGGTCTTGGGCGCCTGGGTGGCTCAGTTGGTTAAGCGACTGCCTTCGGCTCAGGTCATGATCCTGGAGTCCCGGGATCGAGTCCCGCATCGGGCTCCCTGCTCGGCAGGGAGTCTGCTTCTCCCTCTGACCCTCCTCCCTCTCATGCTCTCTGTCTCTCATTGTCTCTCTCGCAAATAAATAAATAAAATCTTTAAAAAAAAAAAGTGGTCTTAATCCTTTATCAGAAGAACAGAGTTAGGGATTAGTGAAGAAGGCATGGACTCTGAAAACAGACTAGCTTGGGTTCAAATCCTAATTCTTCTGTTTACCAGCTGTGTGACCCTGATGTGACGCCGTGTCTCTAAGCCTCAGTTTCCTCATCTAAAAATGGAGATCATAACCCACTCCCACTCCGCTGCAGTGAATGGATGCTGCTGAGGGCAGGTGCAAGGGCTTACTGGTGGGCCATGGGATGCTGAGCTGGACCTGGGGATGTCATGACGGGAGGATGGGGCCAGGACTCACCTGCAGGACGAACTGGGCAGCCACGGGCTTGTGGTCACTGACTGTGTATTCCATGTGGCTGCGGTAGCTGTGCTGGGTCACCTGGAGGCGGTGGCTTTCCCGTCCTGAGGGGCTGGGACCCACACACGGAGCCTTGACCTTCCACAGGATACGGTCTGTCCAGGCTGGCTTCCGCTTCTTGGCACTGAAGTAGGCAGGGGTGACCCAAGTTTCAGGGGCTGGGGTTTGAGGCACAGCCCCCAGCCTTGCTTCTTACCAATCCTCTTCCCTTTCTTCCCTATCCAGAAGACCTCAGCCCATGTCTCCCCCTCATCCCAGTGCTGAGCTCACCTGGTATCATATTTGTTAGTACCCACATCAAATTTGAAGGTGGGTGCAAAGTTGAGGGGCCCCTCCTGGAAGCCCTTCAGGATGGGCCAGGTGTTCTTGGCCATGTTGAGCTGTGAAGGTCCAAAAGGGCAGAATTGGACAACAGCTTGGACAGGACAGGTGAAGGCAAGAGCCAGAGCCTAGTAGTATGCAAAAGTGTGCTGGGTCATGCTCTGTGTGTTTGGCATTTAGGGTGCGGGCTGGGATTCTGCACCTGGTCCTTCTCCCAGAGCTGGTGGAGCTGGTCGCTGTCAATGGCAAACTTAACGAAGTGCAGGTCATAGCTCTCAATGCGGAAGTTGAGGTCCCCAAACCAGAACACGAGGCTGTTCGGGGGTGGGGGTCAGCAGGGTCCATGGGGTGAAAGAGCCCAACCCAGATCCTTCTTCACCCCCATCCAACCCACAGCACTGGATGCCCCTTGCGATGATGCAGTGGGTGGGGTGGGTGGCTGCAGACCCTCCAGCCCGCCAAGGAAAGGCAGGGGGATGCAGATCTAGAACAAAGTTTGATTGGACCCTCAGCAAGGCCCTGCCCCTCAGCAAAGCTCCACCCTGCAGTTTCTGTCCTCCATCAAACTTACCAGCATTCGTGTTCCTAGATGTAGTTTAGGCGGGCCACCCCCCCCACCCCCTCCCCCCCGCCATAGGCTCTGCCTCTCCCCGCAAGGCCTACCCAGGCTGGTACTCAGGTTCCTGTGGCCAAATTTTTGAGACTCTCGCCTCTGAGGCCCACCTCCTCCTTCACTAGCCCCGCCCAAGCTCCACTTGGTCCCGCCCAGAGCCCATACTCGTGATCCAGGATGCCATGCGCCCCGGGCCCCGGGAACTGCTGGAGGCTAAGGATGGTCTGGAAGTTGTCCTTGCGCTGCTCTGCCTTGTCCATGTGCGCTGGCAAGTGGCAGTTCAAGAAGCAGAGCATGTGCCCGAAGGCCGCCAGTCGCACGCTCACTCCACCCTTGTTGCCCTTGGGAGACATGGTTGATATGTTTGATCGAGTCATGGGCGGGGCCTAGGCAAGTAGATGAGGCACTGGGCGGGGCATAGAGAGGGGCGAGGCCAGCCAGCCGGGTGGAAGAGGCTTAGAGAGGGGTGGGTTCTACGGCAAGGAGGGGAACCCTGGGATGGGGCAGGGACAGGAAGGGGGCTGGGTCTAGAAAATGGTATGGGGTGTTGGGCGGGGTTGGGGAGAGACAGGCGACAGAGTAAGGGGTGGAGCATGGGGAGGGGACCTTGCCAGTGCGTGGAGGACCCGGAGGACTAATCTATAGACCCGTTAGGGCCCTGTCCCGTCCCGGGCTGCTCCCATGCTCACCCAATAGCCACCCAGGCCAGTGCGCGTGCAATCAGTCTGCACGTCCCTCAGGAAGGGCAGGTGGTAGTACTTGGCAAACAGCAGCAGGATGACGCCCTGCATCCGCACAGTACTCACCTGCGGCGGGAGACGACGAGGTTGAGGGACCGCACACAACCCCCGCCCTTCTGTGCGCTTTGCCCCAGTCTCCTCCATCCTCCTATTTCGCGGACCCAGCAACCGAGGTCCAGCAGGCCCCACAGTGAATCAATGCAGAGCTAGGGCCGGGAATCCAGGGGGCTCCACCCTTCCAGGGGCTGAGGGAGACGTTACCAGCACGAAGTTGAAGGGTGCCAGTGCGTCCATGAAGAGCTCGCTCCACTGGTCTGTGAAGAGTGCGTCCTTGAGCCGCTTGTTGATCATGGAGTTCACTTCCTGCAACCTGGGGGTGGGTTTGAGGCGGCTGCCGGGTTGGGGGTGCTCTAGAAGCCCTTCCCATGGGCAAGGGTCTGGGAGGCACGAGGGATCCAGAGTGGGGTCCACCCGCCCGGGCCCCTCACCCTATGGCAATCATGTCTGCCCCATCACTGTCATCACCGCTGCTGCCCAGGTGGAGGAGGGATGTGACGTCGTCAGGGGGCATGGCCGTACCCACATTCCACGTGACCACAGTGATCCTGGGGGTGGGGGTATAGGAGGGGTTACCACTAGGCACCACTCCCTCCTCCTCCCTCCCTCCCACAGGGCTCTTTCTGGGGAAATAAACTGAGGCAGGTGTGGGTGTAAGCTCTCGGAAGGAGGACAGTGGGCCCAGGATCTCTCCTACCAGACTCTCCCAGAGGAGATCGATTGAGGCAGGGGTGGGCAAGTCCCTTAGGAGAAGATGCTGTCTCCTGAGGGTCCCAGAGTAGGCCCAGTACCCCCAAAGAATCTTCCTCAGGGAAGTAAACTGGGGTAGTGTAGGGTAAGCCACCCTGGAAAGATGGCTAGTTTCAGAGCTCGAGCCCCACCAATCTTTCTTGGGAGAAGGCCCCCTCACCAGAAGCCAGGGTCGCTCTTGCAGGTAGGCTGAGCTGACCAACAGGATGATGAGGTGGAGGTAGAAGGGGAGGTGGTGACCGGAGCTGGAGCTTCGCAGGGCTGAAGACTGGGGCTCAAGTGCCCACTAGGCCCTGCACCCTGGGTGCCAGGCCTGGGGAGGGCCGCCTCAGGGGCTGGGGGCACACAGGGGGAGCGGTTGGGGGAGCGGCTGGGAGAACGGCTGGGAGACCGGGGTGGCTTGGGCAGAGGTGGGGGCACAGTCTGGGCCGAGGAGGCCCCTGGCCGGAAGGTGGGGGACAGAAGTCCTGGGGAACGGGAAGCAGGCTCTGGAGGGCCCTGGCCCACATCCAGGGGCAGGGTCTGGGGTGGCCGGGGCAGGACAGGATCCTCGGGGCTGCTGCGGGGGGCCTCAGGCCGGGCTCTGAAGGAGGGGGAGATCCAGGGGTCTGGGGGGATTTGGATTAAGGATGTGGAGCCCACAGGACCAGATGCCTGAACTGAAGGCTGGAGATGCTCTTCGGAAGAGGGGAGAGGTTTAGGGGCTGGGGCATCCCTCTGTTTAGCTGGTGTCCATCCGACAGAGGCCGAGGCTGACGTCACAGAAGCTGGAGCCAGGGCCTGGTCCTGAGAGGACGACAAAACTGGACTGGGCACTAGGGAAGAGTTGGAAGGGGGTTGTGGGGGCTGCTCCTCAGATGCCAGGGCCAGGCTCAGGCCTGAGACAGCCAGTGCTGGCTTGGGTCCCACGGAGGCAGGTGGCACCTGCTTTTGGTCCCTGGACGTCGGAGACAGCCTGGGCCTCAGGGTGGCTGGGGGAGGCCTCGGCCTTGCTGAGGCGGACATCACCACCTGCCCCATGGGTGCTAGAGCCAGGACTGAGCCTGAGGTCACCGGAGGCAGCTTTGGCCCAGCTGAGGCAGACATGACTAACTGGCCCACGGGTGTTGGAGCTAGGCTGGAACTGCGGCGGGCAAGAGCTGTCTTCTGCCCTCCAGGGGTAGACAGTGGAGCCAGGGTGGGTCGAGGAGACGCCAGAGCCAACCTCGGCCCCTCTGTGGAAGGTGCTAGAGCTGCTCGTGGCCCCACAGCTGCTAGAGCCAACCTTGGTTCCGAGGGCACTGGGGCCGCCTTCTCCTTCACTGGGAGCTGAAAACTTGAGTCCACCTTGCAGAAGACAAGTCAAAGACTCAGGGTAACCCTAACCAGGGGCTTGGGCCCCAACTTCCATAGAGACCCCAGCAGACTCCATCTAGCTAAGAAAGGCATATCTTTGCAAGGAAGTTCTTCCTAATTTCTCACCGCAATCCATTCTGTTGCAAATCAGCTTCTCTTTTGGAGGAAACAGGATGCAGAACCTTACCCCTCCCTCAAGTCTGACACCTCTCATAGATGGAGAACCTAAGACCCCACCTCAAATGAGGCAGGGTGTGAGCCTGAACCCGAGGGTTCTCTCCTTGCCTTCCTGGTTGACACCCACTCCCTGGCCATGCTGGAGTTTGGGCGCCTGGAGCCAGCTTCCCTGGGCAGCCCTCCCTGCATTTCCTCCTGCTCCCCAGGCTAAGGGCTAACACCCCAGATCTGCCCTCTCTGGACACCCTGGGTCTAGCCTATTCCTCTCCTTTCCTCCACAGTTCCTCCAGGAACCGTCAGCTTCTTCCCTGCCAAGCATCGTGAACTCCTTGGTCACGGTCCTCTGTGTCTTCCTCACCCACTCCCAGGGTTCCATATAGGAGCAAGAGCAGGGTTAAGACTAGCCATGTCAACTCCAAGCCCAGTTCCATGTCCCCTTAGGCAAGCACCCCTCTGCCCAGGGCCTCAGTTTTTGTCTGTAAAATGAAGAAATCTGGTAAAGGGTCCCTAGCCACACCTTGCTCCTGAGAAGCCTGGGTCTCCTACTCTCTGCATTTATGAGCCGAACATTTGCTAGGATTCCATTCGAGCCCCATGGAATAGTCTGTCCTCATCAAGTGTGATTCTAACATTCAGAGCAAGTGCAGGATTCTATTGATCCTGGCATTCACTTCTCTGTGCCCAATTGCACTGTCTCCCCTGTCTCCCCCACTTTTGAGGACAGGCAAGCAGGTATCCTCCTTTTGTCTGGTAGACGGAGTGGGGGGACATGAGGCCCTGTGGGGACCTCCTCTCTCTTTCCCATCTGTCCTCTCTTTCTGATGCCCCTGTCTCCAGAAGACAGGATAAAACGTCCTCCGCCAGGGAGGGCAGAAGGTTTACACCCGCCCTGAGGTGGCCCCATCCCTGCCTCCAGACATGCAGTTCTGTCTGTGTCCTGTGTCCTTCTCGGTTCAGAGAACCTGAAACTCTGCCTCCACCTCCCTCCTCAAACTTAGCTCTTTGAGGCTGCATTTTGGGCATCCTCCTTGGCTCCAAGCGTCCCCCCAACCACCACACCGCCTCCAGCACTAACAACTTAGACATCCCAGATGTCACCATTTTAGTCTTCAGGGACAAGCCTCCTCATTTTGCATTGGTTCAGAGAGGACAAGCAACTTGCCCAAGGTCACACAGCAAACCTGGAGCACAGCTGGATCCCCTGACACCCAGTCCAGGGCTCTCCTGGGGGCTCCTGGAGATGGCTAACTCCATCTCTCTCTGGGTGTCCCATTACTGCCCCCTCAGCCCCCAGAGTGCCCTGTTTGCCTAGCCCCTGCTAGTGGGCAGAGGAGAGTTCCCGCCCCTCAGCCAGGGGCACCAGAGTGCCTGCGGTGCGTGGGGCTGTGTGGGACCAAGGATCAGGGATGGGGGTTTAGGTTTCAGGGGTCTTACCTTGGAGGGTGCCCCAGTTTGGGAAACCCCATGGGGCCCGGGCACGGGCAGGGGTCCCAGGCCAGCCCCGGTGCCTGGCCTCCTGCTACTGGTGCTGCTCTGGCCCTCCATGTCTGCAGCCCCTAGCAGCCTGGGCTCCCTGGGCTCAGGCTCCGGCTCCTCCGCTCCCGGGAACCAGTGATGTCATCAGCCGTTTCAACCTGCTGAGAATTTAAAGACACAGGCACCTACTTCCCAACCTAGAGGTGGCCAAGGCAAGGTGGCCTACACTCTGGGAACCCTTCAAGCTGACTGCTGAGGCTGAAATGGCCATGGGGCAGGGTGGAGAATGTGCCCATTGGCCTGGCTTGGGTCCCAACTGGAGACATGGAGGAGGCTGCCTGTCTGCCCCCGCCCTCCTGCCGTAGGCCTGGCTGGTCCTCACTCAAAGGTGGGGTATTGACACACCTGAGGGACAACGCAGAGACAGGTAGCTCAGAGGTCAGCACCCTCTCCAGGGCCGCAGAGACAACCGAGAGGGAGACCCTGCCATGATCCTGTGAGCTTCCTGACTCTCTGCCAGCCCAGGGCTTGCTTTGGCCCCCACCTTTGCCCCATTTTCGGTCCTTGGTGCCCGCCCCCTGCCTGGCTCTATCCTTCCCATCCCAGAGCCATACACTCAGGCTCCAGCCACTGGAGTCCCCTCCCATCCCAGCCTCACCACCATCCCCTGCTATTCGGCAGACACCTGGCCACCTGTCCTGGATGTCTTCACAGCCCAGCCCCTCTCAGCTTTTCTCTCTCCAGTATTCACTGAGTGTGGTTCGGGTGAGGGACTAGCTCAAGTTCACCGGGTGAGCTGGGGAGGTCTCAAGAGTTTCAGTGAGGAAAGGGAGCTTTCTCGGTGACCCAAGACCCATGGGAGCCAATTGGGGTGTCTGAAGGGGAGGAACTAGGGTGGAGAAAGGCCCAGCAGTGGGGGAACAGACTGTCAGGAAGGTGAAAAACAGGCCCGGGAAACTTCGATGGCCAGGACCCAGCACAGGGTCCAGGGAAATATTTGCTGAATGAACCGATGACTCAGTGAGTGAGTGAGGAGAGTGAATGAGTGACAGGGCTCAGATGTGGCCAGGGATGACTGTGGGCCCTCTGATTTCTGCCTCCTTCCCTCTCTCACTCTTATCTGCTAGGTAGTCCCTGGATCCTGATTTCTCCAGAATTGCTGGATTGCTTCGAGAGGAATGATCGCACTCAGTGTAGCCAGAAAATGTCCAGAGTTTTGTACCCAGAGCTCTCTGGTGGTCCACGGTCACCTCTGTAGCCTCATGGGCCTGTGTGGTCCCCTGCATGAAAGCTGCATGGACAGATGCCTCGTCTCCTTCTCCTGGATGGGATTCCCCCCTCTGCTAGACTGTCTCGGGGTCTAGTCTGGGTTTCCCAGCCAGCAGTTCTGTGAGGCTGGAATTTGCAGGGGCGGAGCCCCAGACCATGTTAGGGCCCTGGAGTAGAAAGGATTTGGGGTGATGAAGGATGGTGGAAGTGATGAGTGGCTACAGGGGAGGTGACTGTGGTGGAGATAATGACGTACGGAATTCTGATAATGGAAGTGGAGGACCGACACTGATGATGGAGGTGCTGGTGATGTTTCGGGTAAATGGAGGTCGTGGAGGTGATAACAAAGGTACAGCTGTTGGTGATGGTCGAGGTAGTAGAGTGAAGCGATGGTGGTCACTGGGATGAGGGTGATAGTAACGGTGGAGGAGAGATGGGGGCAGGGAGGCACCTGGGCTGTTCCGTTGATAGAAGAAGAGATGGTGGTGGGACTCAGTCCACCAGAGAGGGAAGGAAAATTTGGACTTACCCTGCCCAGTCGTCTGACTCCTATTGTATAGATGAGAAAATGGAGGAAGGAGCCCCCCCCCCAGCCCTGTGAGTACTGGCCTCCAGTGCAAGCCTGGAAGTTGGGGAGGGGGCAGATCCCAGTCCCTGGGGCCTGTCGCAGAGCTCAGCCATCCACAGCTCAGACAGGGACATCAGTGTCCTTTGGAAGCCAGGCAAATGTCATGCAAATGAGTGTGCAGAGGATTGCTGCACACTGCAGGGCAGCCCAGGATTTCCCGTCATCGTCCCTCCCTGAAGTCAAATCCCACAGGGGACTTTGTTTCTGGCCTTGCCACTGGCTTACCTGGGGAGGTCGCTCAGATTCCTGATTTGTGTAGGGAGATAAAAACAGTAGATACCTCCTAAGGTTGCTGTGAAGATTCAACAAGAGGATATATCTGAAGTGTTTAGCACAGAGCCGGGCACAAGCGAGCTCTCGGCGAGGGCAGCAGCTCTGCAGTTGGCATCACCACCATCATCATCTGCTCCAACCTGCCCATTTAGTGGATGCTGAAACTGAGGCCAGTGTCAGTTGCATTCCTGGGGGGAAGGGACAGGGGCTCTGAGACCCAGACTTGGCTTTGCCAGGAGAAGGGGGCGGGTGGGGGGGGCGGACCCTGGTTGAGAAGGGAGCAGGGTAAGAGCTATATTTGAGCTCCTGGTGTGATGACTAAGGAGGTTGATAACAGGCTCTGGGGCTCTGGGCGGCAGGCTGGGGGCAGCTGCCAGGGAGAACCGCCCCCCTGGAGACGGCTGTCTCCAAAGGCCCCTCCTGGCTCCCTCCCTGTCCTCACTCCAGGGAGTAGGGGGGTGGTGTGCTGAGGCAGAGGGTACATCTTGTCCAATCCCCCCCCCCCCTTGGAAACTCTTAGTGCTACCCTTCAGGCTGTTCAGGTCAGGAATAGGAAAGGAGGGAGCTGGTGATTGACAAATTATCTCACTCTCCATAGTAACCCTGGGAGGCTGGTAATAAGATCCCCATTCGACAGAGGAAGAAACTGAGCTCTAGGGATTACACAGCCATTAGGGGATAGAACATGGGGTTCCCAGGGAGAGAGTGGATAATTCTCCCCCATAGAAGTGACTGTTGAACTCCTCCTTTGAAGGAGAGTCAGTGTTGCCAAATTGAAAAAAAGGAGAAATGCCCTGGGAAGCAGAGGGAGGAGCAGGGGCAAAAAAATGGAGCATGAAAGGTCCAGGCTATGTATGACAGGATGCAAAATCTGGATATGTGCCCTCGTGGTCCTTTGGCTCAGAGTAAACCCATCATAAGCGGGGAAGGGAGAGAGACTTTCTCTTTCCTCCTCCTCTTCCTTGAGCCACCTGAGGATGGTAATGATACAGAAGGGCCTGTCCTCCTTCCTTTCACTCCCTGGTCACCCTGACCCAGACCCACAGGGACGGAGGTCACACTGGCCACTAGCCGATAAATAAATCTCTTGAGATGTAGAGTGTGCCATAGGGTCCTGTAGGAAGGTAGAAGAGGGAAGCATTAAGGAGGGCTTCTGTGAGGAGGAAGCATACAGGGCACGGAGGAACACTTCTCCTCCCTTCGCTCCAGGGTTCTTTATTGCTCCGAGTACCACATATTACGTCATTGTCTCCTCATTCTCCCCCTCCGGGGCAGGTGTCATCCTCAGCTCCCATTCTGCCCCACAGGAAATGGGTTCAAGCAGGAGTGACTTTCCCAAGGTCACACAGCTGGGGCTGCGCTCAGGCATACCTCCTCCCTCTCCTCAGCTCCCCCTCCTCCCAGGCAGCCCAGCACCCGCTGTCAGCTGCTCTGAAGTGAGTGGCTATTTTTATTCTGGTGCGAGGGGATCTTGGGCAGCAGAGCCATGTAGGTTAGAAGACTCTAGGACACCGGCTTCGGCAGGAAAGGCGAGGCTTACTGCAAGAACATAAGCTTGCCGGGGGGTTCTCATTTCCTGCATGCCAACCTGCCCTGAGCGCTCATGTACCAGAAATTGCTTTTCGGGAGCTCAGAACAGAGCATAGAACCAAACTAAACCCTGGCCCTGATCCCAGATCCAATTTGAGCCCCAATTTTGGTGTTAACTGAGGCCTTATCCCATGCCAAGACTGACCCTATACCCTACCCTGACCATAGTCTTAGATCAAGCCCTGACTCTACCCATGTACAGAGCCTGATCCAAGTCTGACTAAGGCTGATCCCAACTGAGACCTTGATTCTGGACCCAGATTGAGCCCTGATTCTCTGTCTAAGCCTGAGCCATAGTCACTGACCGAATTCTAACCCCAGTCCAGACTAACCCTTGATTTTAGACTGAGCCCCAACCCCAGGTCTAGACTGAGCTCAGAGTCTAGCCATTAACTAAATCTTGAACATGATGGCAGACTGAGCTATGATTTTGGTCACAGACTGAGCCCTGAGCCAAATCACTGATAGAATCCTGTCTTCAAAATGAGGTCTAACCCTGGGTCACACAACACTGGTCACACACTGAGCCCTCGTTTCAGACTGTGCACTGACCGAATCTGGTCAAAGGCTGAGCCTTGAATGTAGTCATAGACTGAGCCTTGATCTTGGTCACAGACTGAGGTCCAAGCCCAATTATTGACTGAGCCCTGAACTGACTCCAGCCCCAGACTCAGTTCTAAATCTGGCTTTAGGCCAAGGGCTGACCCTGACCCCAATCCCATTACAGACTAAACCCCAAACCCAGCCCCACCCGAGGAAGGCTGCTAGCCTAGATTACAAAATGCCACATAAGGGCATGGATTAAAAGTAGAGATCTGTTCAGGGACAACCTGGGCCTCCCATGAGTGCTGATGCCAGAATGTTCCCGGTACTCTTGTGGCTAGTGTCTCTACCACTGGTTCCACTGGCTGGCTAGTCAACCCCCAGCAGCCCAGGCTGTGGCCCCTCTAGGCCACAGCATCTAGGTTAATGCAATGCAAGTGGTTTGGTGGCATCTGTCCAGTGAACAATGTGGGTCCATGAGGCACTGAGGTTTGGCTCTGTCAGCAGAAAGGCCACAGGCTCCATGGGGCCTCTGGCTTCAGCCACTCTGAGGCTCTTGCCTTGCTGGGGTATGGGCTAGGGTTGAGGGAATCCATGGCATTTGACCCATTATTTCTGTAAACAAAGTTTACTGTTTGTATTTAGATAATACATAATTATTATAGAAAATACAGAAAAAAAGTATAAAGGAGAAAAGCTTCACCCTATAACTTCATCTACGAAGAGATGACTATTTTGACTTCTTGGGTTGTTTCCATCTAGATTTTGTGATTTGGGCTAGGCATATATATCTATATATACATATTTTATAAAATTGGTTGGCTACTCTGTTAATGCTACAACATCTGTTGAAGCCCATATCCTAGACGGGCTCCTGGAATGGGTCTCAGCTGATTAAGCCAATGAGCTATTTCCATTCCCTTAGCCACAGGATTGGATCATGGATGGACCAGTGAGATATAAAGAGATTTTTTGAAAGAAAGCTTGCTTTCTCTTCTGAGAAGGTTACCAAAAAAGATCATCTCCCCTTCATTAGATATGAATGAAGAAGTCTGTGGTCCTGGTCACTGTTGGCAGCCATCTTGATACCATGTAGGTAACTGGCTTAATGACCAGCTGACACTATGGAAGGCAGAATGGAGAGAAATCAGGTCTTGGGGACTTTATCAACCAGATCAAACCTGACCTGAAGCCCTCCCTGCCATTGAACTTTTTTGTTATTTGAGCCAACAGATTTCCTTTATTGTTTAAGCCAGTTAACTTGGGGTATCTGTGACTTGCAGCCCAGAGCATCACAACTCCCAACTGATATTACTGTTTTATAGCCTAAAAAAAATTTTAATACCATAACTATGAACATTCTCCATGTTGTTCAACACAATGCTGCATCATTTAAAACAATTGCATGATTTTCTATCCTATGGAGGTACCATCATTTATTTAACTCATTCCTTGAGGAGACATGCTTAGGTTGTGTCTCCAGTTTTTCACCATTGTAAACAGTATTTTTTAAAATTTTATTTTAATTTATTTTTTTAATATTTTGATGTTCTTTTGGAACTGCTCACATAACTTTTTTTTTTAAGACTTTATTTATTTATTGTCAGAGAGAATGAGAGAGAGAGAGCACAAGCATGGGGAGCAGCAGAGGCAGAGGGAAAGGAGACTCCCCACTGAGCAAGGAGCCCAATGTGGGGCTCCATCCCAGGACCCTTGGATCATGACCTGAACCGAAGGCAGACACTTAATCGACTGAGCCACCCAGGCATCCCTTTTTTTTTTTTTAAATGCATAAAGAGATTTATTGCAAAAAATGGTTTATGCAACTGTGGAGGCCAGTAAGGCATGTCTGAAATCTGTGGGGCAGGCCAGCTGTCTGGAAACTCCTAGGCAGGAGGGGATGCTGCAGTCCACAGGTGGAATTTTCTCTTCCTCAGAGAAACTCCAGTTTTGCCTTATCTTCCACAGATCTACACCTCAAAACGTGAAATCCAGAAGGCCCAGGGAGTCCAGTGCCCAGCAACTGCTCAGCAGCTCCTCCTATGGATGCAGCCCATGCCTTGGGCGCTAAAGATTGAGCCAGGGCAGGCGCCCTACAACCTTGGCTGGTTAAACAGTGTTTTGATAAACTTAACCTAAAAATTGGTCCCTTCTCTGATGGTTACTTTGAGCCAAATCCTGACAAGTGAAATGACTGGGTGGAAGAAATGTTTTTAGGGTTTTGATTTATTGAGTCAAATTGCCCCTCAGAAAGCTTGGATGAATTCACACTTCCATAGCAGTAAATAGAGTGTAGACATTGTTTATCATGTCAATAGTCTGGACAAAACCAGTTATACTTACAGTGCCCTGATGTATTTACAAAGAATGGGTATTAAATAACAACTCTAAGCCCATTATTATTTTATCTTTACAATCAAGTCAATGAATGTGAGGTAGCAGGGTATAAGCAAAGGGCTCTGTGCAAACCTGACTTAATCCATTAGGCTTAGTGCCCAGGACCCATGATACTTTTAGAGGTCATGAACATGTTTTAATTTTCATTTCTTTTAAAATTGGAAGAAAAAATAAACATATAATAATGAATCCAGCCAGGATTATTCTTCTTCTTCTTCTTCTTCTTCTTCTTCTTCTTCTTCTTCTTCTTCTTCTTCTTCTTCTTCTTCTTCTTCTTCTTCTTCTTCTTCTTTCTTCTTATTTTAATTAAGGCAGTTGTAAAATGCCTTAAAAGGCCCAGGAAGGCAAAAATACCTAAGGGTCCATGAAAGTCATAATGCAGCTTTGGCTTGATGTTAAGAAGGATTCTGATTCCCAGTTTAGATTCAATAGCAAAGAGCACTGTGATCAATTTGCTGTGTCTGCCTCAGGCTTAAAGAGGGAACGTGGCGTCCTTATTTAGTCATCTTTGGTTTGATGAGACGAGCACAGGGACGTTTCAGGTTCAATTCCCAGATTCACAATGTCATCGGTCTACCTTTCTGATCCTGTTTCTTAACTTGCAAAACGGAGTTCATGGGGCTTTTTTTTTTTTAAGATTTTATTTATTTATTTGAGAGAGAGAGAATGAGAGAGAACACATGAGAGGGTATAGGGTCAGAGGGCAAAGCAGACTCCCTGCCGAGCAGGGAGCCCGATGCGGGACTCCATCCAGGGACTCCAGGATCATGACCTGAGCCGAAGGCAGTCGCTTAACCAACTGAGCCACCCAGGCGCCCTTCATGGGGCTTTTATGAGGTAAGAAATGAAATAATGAAAGCTAACACTGTGCCAGGCACTGTTCCAAAGGGCTTTATGTGTATTAACCCTTTTATCCTTCCAGCCCCTACAGAGTACGTAATATCCCACATTCCGCCATAATGTGTGCTCCAGGGATTTGAAACCCAGATCGGAATTTCATCCAAAGAAATAAAAGACACAAACAAGAATTCCCGGCCTCAGTTTCCCTATCTTCAAGTCAAGCGGCTGGCCCAGAAACTCCCTGGTCCGTCCGCATCCCTCCCGCGCCCCCTGCCGGCGTAAGGGGACACTGTCTGGCCGCATCCCGCCGTAGCGTCTGCGCTCTCGGTCGGCGTGGACACTCCCGCGGCTGGGAATATAAAGGCCGAAGGGCCAGAGAAGATCCCGAACCAGAAAAGATTCTAAACCCTGCGGGAAGAGAGCTGAAGGCCCCAGAGCCGGCCCTGGGGCGGAGACTGACAGCTCGGGGCGTGGTTCCCTAGGGGGCGGGGGCTCGGGCGGGGCGGGGCCAGCCGGCGGACCCAGACGTGGCGCAGTGGCCCGGCCGTTCGCCTTTAGCTTGCGGATCATCTTCGGCCCGGTCCCGATGCACCTCCCGCTGCCTCCACCGCCCCTGCTGCTGCTTCTCGCGGCACTCGCGGCCGCCGTCACTACCTTCCGGCCCGACTGGAACCGTCTGCACGGCCTGGCCCGAGCCCGGGTAGAGGTAAGTGCTCTGGTCCCTAGCTCAGGGACCACTGCCCCCAACCCTCTGGCCCCTTAGCTTTGGAATCACCGCTCACTTTGGCCCCAGGACCCTCCTGACTCCCAAGTCCCCCTCAGGGCCGGGACCAGCCCTCCCGCTCCCCAGCCTCAGGACGCCCCAGCACCCACCACCGTGGAAGCCTGAGATACCCGATGGTGCTGTCTGGAAACCCGAACTCCTCCCTAGTTTCCCATCCGGCTGGACAGCGGGCCCCCAGACACACTGGCCCTGTCCCCTAACTCTGCTCCCGGCCTGTGACTCTTCCAAGCCTGTCCTCTGGAGCCTAACTTTACATCCTCCCATCACTCCACTTTTTCCTGGACTTCCTCCCCCACCCCAGTTCCGGTATGTGTCTCCCTTCCCTGAGGGAGGGAAGACTTTCTGGGCGCTTGCCCCACTAAGCAAAAGCCAACTGCATTACCAACATTTACCCTGCAGCAGGCCCCCATCCTCCTCTGTGAGGAAATTACCCGTCAGAGTCCCTGTTTGGTTGTGTGACTTGAATCATCACAGATCCTCTATGGGCCTTAGTTTTGTCTGACAGAAGGAGGGGGAGGAGGAAGGAGGAAGGAGGACTAGAATAGTCCTGGGGTCTGGACTCCTGCTGGGAAGTGTCTCTCCCCTCTGGGAGTGCAGGGAGGGGCCCACACATCCTCCCATGTTGCGGAAGCAACCAGATGGAGGCCCAGCTCTGCATGGGGCTAGGTAGGGACCAGATGGCAGGTATCTCTAACGGGGTCTCCCAGGGCAATTCAGAGCTGTTCCCTTCTGGCCTGCCTCCACCCTGAGGTTCTAGGGGCCAAAGTCCAGGCCCAGGTCTCTACTGCCTGAGAGAAGTAGAGTAATCATTTCTTTTGGGCATTGGGAGTGAGTCAACAGTCAGTAAGGTGTGCAGGCAAGAGCCCCAAGGCTGGTAAGTGCCTTTGGGTCACTGGTCTTGCTCCTCTTTTACCTGATGTCTGTAAGCCCCTGTACAGAGTTCCCCCCTTCTGTCATAAGGGAACTTCTGTTTCAAAGGTAATCCACAGCCTCATCCAACTCTGGGAGGAGAGTGAAATGGTCTTGAGGGTGTTATTGGGCAGATATGAAGGATTCCTGACCTATCTGATTTTGTCCCCCTCCAGACCTGTGGGGGATGACAGC